TCCCTCTGAACAATAGCCACATAGGCGAACCAAATTCATATGATGCATTGAGCCAATGGTGTTTACTTCAGTGATAAATTCCTTCTCACCATGAGGCAAAACCCTTTCAAGTTTCTTCACTGCAACTAAGGTACCATCTCCCAGGCTTCCTTTATACACACTCCCAAATCCACCTGCAAAATAAGTACAGTCAGCAACAATTCACACAAATCAAAATTCCTCTGTCTGTAACTTATCCTTTGCCATAAAATTTAACATAGAATACACTTACCTGTTCCTAGCAGCTGAGAAAAGTTACACGTCCTAATTTGCAAATCACGGTAGGTGAAATTCATTGGAGCACCTGATAAGATCAAGGAACTTTCCATTTCTCTTTTTAAAACTCTCTTTCTGTGAACGCTGTAATACAGTAATAAGCACAGCAAAACAATGAGAACTACCATGCTCATAACAGTGGGAATAATCACAGCCTTCTCCTTTGCACTTCCCATTCCATCAGAAGAGCTATTAGACTTTCGTGCTTGGCCTTCTGGTGTCCATGAACCATTTGCTTTAACCTTCACAAACAAAGTTGAACTGGTATCCTCAAAACCACCAAAACTTAAACTCCTCAACACCCAGCAATATGGTCTCTCCTCATTTAGCCCATAAACAGAAGCAACACAATCACAATCTGATAAGCAAGCATCCCCACATTTCGATACATTAGAAATATCAGTATAGTTAGCTATTACTGAAAATTCAGAAAAATAATAGTTCGTTTGCTGCGCCACTGAAATCCTGAACTGGGATGTCATGATTTCATGCTGCCCATTGCATTTTCCAACAAGAGTTGAATTCTCATAGCACTGCCCATCCCTGCCAACTTTAGAAGTTCCTGGCAAACATGTGCATGAGGCTTTTGTCTTACTTCTATCTAAATTACAAACTCCGTTGCCACAAATCCCAGCAATATCACAAGGATTTGAAACTGCAGCCCACTGCGGCACCCACTTGCTTGAACCATTCACTTCATCCCAAATATACAATCTCAGATTACCATTCTTTTCCAGTGTCAATCTCCTAAGAACAGTTAATGGTGCAGATTGATGAACTGCAGAAGACAAGCCTGCATCATCATCATCATTCTTGAACACATAAACTGCTCCATCAGATGAGTCTCCATACACAATTCCAAAGCTTCCAGCTTGATCTAAAACAGCTATAACTTGGCCAGTCACATTGGAGATATCAGGACCTTGCCAATAGGAATAGTTAGTGTATGATTCATCTGAAGCCTGGAAAGTTTCTGGCAGATTGTAAGTAAGAGCAAGGCTTAAAGAAGTAGGTTGTTGAAGCATTTTCAGAGCATAGTAGCCACCATGAGACGAAGACTTTGATGATGTTAGTTCTGAAGAAACTGTTAGAAGCTGGTTAGGGAGGAGAGTATCAGAAGGTTGAGAAAAACTCTGCCACACAGGGTGGTTGTTGGTGTTATGAAGAATGAAGTTGCCAGTTTCCGACATGATTGCTGTTTGTACATCAGCACCTGAAGTGTTTGAGGCCCATACGGTGATGTCTCCATCCATAAGAATGAGGTTGCCAGTGGTGTCAAGCTCCAAGATTGCATCTTGTGAAACGGGTGAGTCTCTATTTGGATTATTGAGATCAAAGAAAATGAAACATGTTGGCAATCATAACCTGCAAAAGCTTTTGTAAAGACTAGAGACTAGATGGAGATGTGATTATTGACTCTCTTTTTTTAAGTCAAGAACCAGAACTAACCATCTAATCTGCACTACACTGACATTCTCTTTAAACATCTTATTCAATTCAAGGTAACTGGGTAAAAAATTAATTGTCCTTAACAAAATCATAATGCAATAAAAAAAAATTAGAACATTCCGTTTCCATTTTTATAATGACAAATTCAAATATGGCTATGCAACATATTCAAATCTCCAATTTACGATTAATCCCACTTGAGAAATTGTGAGAGAGTACCTAGAGGCAATGCTTTGAGTGAATCTCTACCTGTCTTATAGGATCCTAGACACGTCACCAATTTATCCTAGAGCCAAACTATATTTATTTAAAAATACTAGAATAATAAAGCCACGTCATCGTTAATTTCTTGCTTTTTCCATTTATGCAAAACTAATAACTAGATAAAAATGGGTATAATTTTTTTATTTTTAGTTAATTAAATAACTGTGTAAAAACATTATCTTATCATTAAAAATTAATTTTTATGATAATTATTTTAAAAGTTATATCTAGATATTATCTAACTAACTGATAGTGTAAAAAACTCTTTTACTCTTTTCACTTGTGCAAGCAAGACTCTTTTTGGATCGAATTGTTCCAAAATGGGTGTGGCTAAGGTGAGCAAGAGTATATTTCACCCTTAAATTTCAATTGTTTAAGATTCTCTTTATACACGAGGACATTTTAGGTGGGTTTTCTTCGGACATTTTCGCATGCAAATTTTTTTATATACATATATTAATTAGTTCAATTACAAAGTGTACGATGATACAAAAAACTAAACATTATGGCTAGCAGTACCTATTGGCTGACCAAACTAAAGTTCGATCTCCTGGAAGCCTCGCAAACCAAATTCCCACCACAAACAATCGATTATCAATCTCTGCTGGAGTGAACCCCAAAGCAAATGTGCCATTCTCAGAAACCCATGTTTGGGCCTTCCTAGCCAATAATCTGGAGCCCAAACCAATCTGGCCCGAAATGGAGCTACCAAAACAACACAAGACAAGAGCATAAATGACCCAATAACAAGAAAAGGTAGAAGCAGCATTTGCCATGGCAAGCTACACTTGCATAACAGTATGAATTATGGTATATATATATATCGAAAAAACAAACCTTACACAATGGTTTAACGTGATGTTATATATGGGGATAGTAGAGGGGAAGTGTAATGTTCAATTTGGAGAAGAAAGGCTCATAAATTGGACACGTGGTAAGTGGTGGGTGAGCTACAACTTTGAAAAAGTGTGTTTCATGTGTGGTCGGTAAATAAGATATGATTAGATATGGTGGCATTGCTTCATTGCTTTGTGGTCTTCAAATGGGACTCAAGGTATGTGCCTGATCCAAACAGCAAAGGCTAGACAATATTGACACGTAGTTGTTGCATCTAATAATTTACAACAACATGCTTCTCAATGCATGTTCACCTTTCACACTTAGAAAAATGGGTGCCATGCCACATTTTGTAACCCCCTATACTCAAGGATGGTGACTTTTGAACAGCTTGCATGCTAATGATTCTCCATTGTCACAACTAAATTACATGAATATAGAGATTTGTAGCCAAATTTTTAGTCTAAATTTTGTTAGAATTTAGATGGATTCATTAATGATTGTTTGATAAGATAAAAGTATAGATGATCATTAGTTTACTCAAAATGTCAACAAGCGCGGTGGTTGTCCCAACCATAAATTTCATCCATGAAAATAATTCTATTCAAATTGAGAATATTTGCAGTATGATAAAGTTTTTTTTTAATAATATAATGTTAATTCCTAAATTTACTTAAAAAATTAAACGTGTTGTTTAAATCAATAACTTATTTCCAATAAATGGTATTTTTTTACATAAAAACTTAAAAGGAAGTATTTTTATTTTAGTCTTCTTCTTCTTAATTGATTTATAGAAATAACAATTAGTAAGTATTAATCAACGAAATATAAATAGAATAATACATGATTGTAGAACTCAAATGTCAAAACTTTTGGCTCATTCAATAGTATTCGTAGTCCATAGAGGAAAAAAAATGGGGCACTCTAATCAAATTTCATATTCAAGTTCAAATAAATAGATGCTCAATTTCAGAAGTCTATGGTGACATGTCACTACTTCCTGATGCATCATTTTTCGTCATTGCATTCATTTTTCTTTGGTGATCAATTTCAAAAGTCTATGATCACTTGTCTTCATTTTTTGGGAAAACTTATTGTTATGAGTTTCGATAAAATGATATTAGATGATAAATATAGTGAAATAATACTTGTAAGATTTAATCAATAGGTACATATTAAAGTCATAATTATAAAACTAAAGTCATAATTTTTTTTTAAAAAAATAAGTATATATTAACAAATATTAACATACGTTGACTTATTTAAAATAAAATACGGTAACAAATTGTATTTTTAATATATTTAAAAAAACTAAAGTTATAATGTGTTAACGTATTAAAAAAATAGACGAATTAGCATTGCTTGTCATAATCTAACCAAATAATTTTTCCTACTATCTAAAGTTAAAAAATATTTAAAGAGTTTGGTTGAATGAAAAAAGAAAAGAATATCGCATTAACAGTATCAGAAGTTCAAACTTCCATTCATTATTTTTTTAATGAAATAAATTTAATTTTTTATAAATATTTTTAAAATTTAATGGCTTCAATATTTTACATCTTTTAATTTTATTATAATTATTTTTAAAAATATTTTTATTTCTCTCTTCTCATTTCTGTAAATACAGAGAGAGAAAAATACACGTGTTTTGACTTATTAATTTCGCCATAGAAATAAAAATGTTGGTATAATTTAAAGATATTAAGAAAGAACTCATTAATCGAATTCATTATTTTCATTATTTACTATACGAATGTGATGGAAGCACAAATTAATTATTTGTATGAGTTAAATTATTTTACAATAAACTAAATTTAAATCAAATACCGGTAATTTCGGATTGCTTGAAATGAATCTTTAATTCCTTCAAAAAAAATTTAAAATAAATATTATGAACTTTAATTTTAATTTTAAAATATTAATTAGTACTCTAAAAATATTAATTAATAAAAAAAATATTAATAACCTTTCTCGTAATATTTAATATATTATAAAGTAATTTTTAAACTTTATCTTAATTTATAACAAAGATAAAAATTTCCAATCTATTTTGGAGCCATGTCCTAATAAAGAAATGGATAATATGTGGTGGAAGCAAAATTCTTGCATAGCCGTGAGCACGATGTGATAATTATTGTGAAGGTAAAAATTTGAAAAGATGAGGTTAATTCACGGTTTAGGCATCGACATGACATGATTAGCAAAACGAAAAAACCGACTTGGGTGGAGTGTGTGTTGGTTTCATTTGTGGTAGTGAAAATGGAATGGAAGCTCCAATGTCCAATCCAATGATAGATAGCATGTAACATACTGATTTTTTGTCTGTGTTTGTGATGCTTAGTGGAACAGCCAACCCTATTCATCAATCTCCGGATTGCACCAATGTCCACCACAATTCCCTTCTCTCTTCCCCTCCTGCAAAATTCTAGGTTTTCCCTTTTCAATTCACCCTCATCTCCTATTCCATCTCAATCATTATTCACCTTTCCTACAACCGTAAGCTCTCTCTTTCTTTTTTATGCTTATATAACTATTTGCATGCCCATTTGTTCAAGTTTCCTTTTTTACTGAATTTGTGAACAAAGTTTTGTTTTTTATTATTATTGTTTAACATAATGGCTTAATTGGAATGTGGGTTTTATTTAGTTAATTGTTATTAAGAGATTTAATTTAATCATTGGGTTGGCGTGTGAACTTGGTTTGCAAGGTTTATTTAGTTGTTGTTGTTGTTGTTATTATTATAACCTGAATCATTTATCCATTCTAGAAATGGAGGCTTTTGTGTTTTAGGCATGAAAACGTTTCATCAGAAAGCAATGGCTCCGAGTCCGTAGAAGATAAATTGTCAGAAGATTTGGTGAAGCTCAAAGGTGACCAGTCCAAAGACTTGAAAAAGGATTGGCTTACAACTATCTATACGGTATATATTTCATTTGCTATCTCTTGGTGTCTGTCTTTTGCTTTAAATTGAAGTTTTGGTTCATAGTAAGTCCTTGTTTGTTAAATTAACAAATTCTCTTTACCTTGTTTATGTCTGGACTGTGTTCATCTTGTTTTAAAGTGCAAGACACCTTGAACCAATTGCCACCACTCTACCTGTGAGGGTAAACTGTAAAAGCCTTTAACCAATTTTAGTTTCCATCAAATGAATGTAATGTGTCTAAATATGTTGTGAAGTTTGTCAATGATTAAAGATAAACCAGTCTTAAATGCTATCTTGTTTCAGAATCTTGGTTTGCATTTGTGGTTGCTTTGTGATTACTTTAGGCACTCCTTTCCAAGACCATGTGATAAATATGGGTAAGGAGAGGAGAAGGATTTATTTAGGCTCTAACAAAATTGCCTTCATGGTAAAATGTGTGAGAAGCAATGGATAAAATAAGAGGCCATGTGAGATATGAGGGAAAGAGGGGAGAGTGAGAAAGACAGGCAATTATTCAGTGGGGATATGGGAGAGGTTTCAATTCTCTCAAATGACCTGTGGAGTCATTTTTTTTTTTCCTGGAATTCTAGAGGCCCATTTTTATTATAAGGAGCTAGCCTCCATATTTTCTTAAATAAGTTCAAGATCCTATCAGATTACGAAAATTGCAGACAGTTGAGGTTGATGTGGTCACTACTGTGATTGTGGCAACTGCCAAAACAACTATATTGTGGCTGCAATTGTGGTTACGATTGTAATTCAAACCAATTATCTCTTGTACTATTCATCTATGATTACATTGTGGAAAATGATGTGGAAGAAGACTAAATGAATTTTTGAATTTATGTACTAAAGTGTTGCTTATAGTTCCAGAGACTAAAATGGGTTTTTACTCTTGTTCATTTCTAAAATTTTTTACTGTTATGTGATTGACGAAGCAGAACATTGCCTTGTTATGCCAAGAGTATTATAAGCAGTGACCAAGTGGGTAGACTGGGTAAAGTATCTACTGCACAATCTTAAGCATTGATCAATCAGATTTTATTACTTCTCATTAAGGTTAAAATTTAGGTAGAAGATTCATAAACTATTTGACATTTTAACTATTTTCTTCCTGAAAATGGGTATGCTACATCAATTAACTGAGTGAGATTCATAGCTGTGTCATTCTTAAATTTAAAGTTCCAATAGTAGAAGTTCTTAGCTTTTGATTACAATTATTCATCACCTTCTCAAGCCTTCCCCGTTGGTCATGTCTAGCAAATTATTGCACCATCCTACTTGTCCTTCAATCTTCTAGATAAATTTAGCCTGTCATTCTGATTTATTTGCATAGGACAATCTGAAGAACCTGGAGTTGCCTTTGTATTCACTCCCCTTTCCATATTAGCACTTGACTACCCAAAGGATAAAGTTGTGTTTCTCATGATGTAGGCACACTTTTTAGTTTTAAAACCATGGCAGAGGTAAGTTTTCATCTGAGAAGATAATAGATATGGAAACAAGCATGAACTTTACACTGTGTGTCCATAGTTGTATGAGAGTGAACAAAGAACAAAATGAGAAGGTGGAGGAGACTGAGAACGAGATTATATATGAAAGATAATTGATATTTTTTAGAAGAGATAGCTTTTAAATGGGTTTTCCTCTTTGGTAATTAATGATAGGCTCTACAATTAATAATTTGGATATATTTTCAATCATTAGATTAAAACCAAATCAAGGACCTACATTTGGTGAAAGAGTTATATTTAGGTTTTATGTCAATATGTTTTTCTACTAACATGAATTGGCATATGTCATTCTGGTTCTTCCAATTGATTTGAATTCTCTTAAAAGAAATTCTAGCATAATTGACTATCAAACATTGATATGCTTTTAAATCTGCCTCACTTATCTCTAAATTAGTTAAACACTTAAGCATGCAAACATTTTTAGGGTGTCCCAGAAATGGTAAAAGTATTGTTTTTAACATTTCAGGTCATCACTGTTGTTCGTGGTGTGGAACCCTGGACAGTTCCTTGGACTGCAAAGACCATTGTTCAGGTAAAGTATATCGTTTTTTATCATTTTGACTCTATTATCGATGTTATCTATGTTTAGAGTATGTTTGGCACTCTAGATTAAGGATTCCATATTTCCATTCATGCTTCTTTGTCATTGGAAGGTCTATTCCTATGTTTAGTGTTTGAAAAGGCATGAAATTGCATTTCATTCAGGGCCCCCATAAACAAGAATGCCCATTTTTCTTTCTTTTGGGATGAATGAGGATTCCTGGGTGTTGAGTGTGTGACAATTTTATTGCTCAGCAACTTTACACTAATTTATGTTGCACAAGATAATAAAAGCCACTCACCCGTATGCAAATAATAATATATGCTTAAAAAATAATATTATAAATTTATAACAGTTTTACTAGTCTCAGTATTAAAAATTGCTACAAAACTAATAAATTAGTCTTATATTTGAAAATAAATATCAAACTTTTCACCTTTTGTTCCTTTACCATCTTAATTTGGAAAGCACAGCCTAATGTTAAAAATATTTGAAGGACAAACATAAAATAATTATATCTTTTTATTTTTTTATGTTCAAGTGGAAAAAAGTGTAAAATAATTATAGTTCTTTAACAGTTGTAATAGTTAATTATATAGGGGTCATTTGGTTACAATTCTGATCCTATTCCATGTACCAGACATAAAATCTGTTATGAAATCATGATGATACAAGCACTAGAATAGGAATGATTACTTCAATCTCATACTTAATTCTCCTTTCGTTTTCTGCAAAATATCATTCTCTCTATCAAACTTGTTTTTAGATTTTGGTGTGAGGAATACTCTCCTTTTATTTCATTTATCAAAGTTTGATAATTATCATTTTTTTTTTATTGATTTGATATCAAGGTTGTGTTATAGTTCACTTCAATTAAAACTTGTAAAAAGATTTTTTTAAACAAATATTTAGAAACTATACAGTCTATTTGAATGGTCTCTTTCTTAGTACCATTATATCTAGAAGAACAAACTAAGTTGGGTTCTGCAGGTTATGCTCCTTTGGATTGCCTCATTTTGGTTGGTAGGATCTTGGATAGTTCCAGTTTTAGCGTACACAGCAGGGTTCAGAAAGGAATCTCTTACATACAGAGGGCAAGCATTGTACAGCCTCTTGACTGATGTTGCTGAAGGTGTGGTTGGGATAGCAATACTTCATCGTTGTCTTGCAAAGTTTCAACCACTTTCATCTGACTGGTTCAAATTTGAACTCAAAGGGAAGTGGCAGTTTGATGTTGGTTTAGGCTGCCTCATGTTCCCCCTTATCAATCAGCTATCTCAGATGAACCTAAAGTTGTTGCCCATTCTTCAATATACTCCAGTTACCGTTTCAAGTGTAGAGCAATCAATTTTTGCGCGTGACCCTGTGGCAATGGCCCTCTATGCAATGGTAGTCTCAGTTTGTGCCCCAATATGGGAGGAGATTGTCTTCCGCGGTTTCCTTCTCCCATCTTTAACCAAGTACATGCCTGTATGGAGTGCAATATTAGTTAGCTCAGTAGCTTTTGCCTTGGCACATTTTAACATTCAGAGGATGCTGCCACTTGTATTTCTTGGAATAGTGATGGGTGCTGTCTTTGTACGCACTAGGAACCTCTTGCCATCAATGTTGTTGCATAGTCTGTGGAATGCTTTTGTATTTCTGGATCTGATGAAATAAAAAAAAAAAAAAAAAAAAGAAGGTTTTTCACTATTTTCTTACTCTTGACATGCTTACTTCTGACTATATTCTACATACTATCAGCAAAATTGAGGTGCACTTATTATGCCTTGACTTTGATTTTATATAAATTTTCACTTCTCAATGCTACACATGTAGTGTTAAAACTGCGGGAGAGGTTTGTATTGTATTACTCTTGACATCGTTTTGATAAATGTTTGCAGTGATAGCACGATATGCTAGCAGCGGACCCGATTTGTAGAGCCTCACATGAAGGTGTTTGACATTCTCTCACCGAAAGTTTTCAACTTTCAACGCCTACTGTTGATGGGATTTCAAGATAAAATATTTCAGAAGTGGTACTCTCTGAAATATGAACAGTAAAGGATAACATTAACTTAAAAAGAAAAAGCAGAGTTTGCTTTATTTAAACTATACAGAATCCAATAATATATTGATTGCCTCTCCACTCTTAACATCCTTACAACCTGGCCCCAGAATGGCACTTAAAGACAAATAGTCATAGAATGAGTGCATGTGGTTTGCCTAATGCCTATAGCCACATTTTACCTGCTGCTGAGCTGGTAGTCATGATACCCCCTTGTGAAATTTATCTACCACTAAATATTCTTGTGGATAAAAATTCTGTCAATTTTTATAAAAAGTACTCAAAACTTTGGGTCCTTCATGCTTGCATGAATGGCGTGACATTCTTTTCAGAATTAGACTGCATTAATGAGTGTTGTATTTACTAGTAAATACCTATTGTCTTAAATGGGGACATAAGAGAGGGGACCAATTGGTTTCAAGTCACTAACTATCCTGGCTTAGTAGCTTTTGTCCCAAGAACCTTTCTTGATGTTTACTTTATCCGACAACTATTGGGACCCTTGTCTGCTATTTTCCAATTTCATAAATTGCTAACCAAAATCAATTTATAGTCATTTTTGGATGAAAATGACGTTGCTTTCTTTAACATTTATACCTCAGAAGATTTGTATGCAGCTCCACTCACGCTGCTAGTGGATGAAATTTCTTTACCATGAGAACCTCATGATATTTGTTCTTTAAGAATTCAGATTTATGTTGAACTTACTCAAGGACAATGACGATGCTACATATGGCCAATTGGTAATGTTATCATGTAATTTATCGATTTGTGCATGCCTTTAAGAAGAGAATATGTCCATCGACTTTTTTCCCCCCTATTGTCCGTTTGTTCTTGTGCTGAGTGCAATATGGCGCTTTGCCAATCGGTTGCTTAGTTCATATTTTGCATGTGATTTGATATTTTTTACAAAACATAGTATCTTAACAAAATAATTTAATATAGCCTGGATTGTACTTTTAATCTTTCTACTGTTACCAATGTGTAATTTTGGTCTTACAATAATTTTTTACTCAATTTTAGTCCTGTGGGTTTAAAACCCACAAATCAAAATATCATATTTCACCTAATATAAGACATTTTCCAATTTTCCTTTTAAAAACCTTAAATTTACGTCCTATAAAATTTCTTAGATTTCATCAAATTTTCAGCTTTCCAACCTTTTAAATTTTTTTTATTGCAAATTTGTATTTAATGTCCAACTATTTGAGTGAAAAAAAATAATTTGAGGACTTTAGATAAAAGACAGTGATGGAAGGATTGTAAGAGTTTCTTTAACAAATGAAGAAATTTAATTCAAGTGAAAAATTAATAGGGGAACAAAAGTGTCCATTGGTCATAAAAGATGAATAAAAATTGGTAAATAAGCCTTTAATTTTAAAAAATTAATCATGAAGTGGTTTAGTTTGTAAATAGTTCATCGTTATTCATTATCGACTGTGTGAACATTCTTATTAACTTATTAAGTAGTAAATACTTTTACCTATTATGAACATTCATTAAAAGATTGGTGTCCGTAAAATATTATTTGATCTTGATTTGATTATCAAGAAACTTGTTTGTAACTTATATCTAGTTATAGAGAGACTTGGATTTAAATATAATTTAGTTTGGTTTGGGTTGCCTCACCTTTAAATTGTAAACACTCCTTTAATGATTTGTTTTCTTTTATATTCCTTATTCTATTTGTTTTTATAATGTTACAACGAATGATATATATTCTTTTTCAACTCATATAAAACATTTCTTAAGTTGTCTTGGTCCTCTCTTTTTCTTATCATGATCTTTCCCAAAGAAAAGTAGGATACGATTTAAAATTAAAATTCTGCTTTTACTTAGAAAGATTTACCGACACTTTAGTTTTGAAGAGCTTTCTGTTATTATTGGAGACAATTTGTCCTACTAGGCATAGATTTGCCGCTGGAATAGCTCAGAGGCCAGGCTTGCTTATAGAACAATTTCTCGATGGGTATATTTGGTATATTATTCTATATTCTAAATTTCTTGAATATGACTCTAACTTGGTGAATAGTTGAAAACCATTGCATGATGCTAAAACACTAAAGTACTATGGTACACTCCTTTTTCTCTTCAGGAAACAATAATGGTGTCCAAGAGTATCTCATGCATATAATAATCAATAATGGTCCAATAAAATATACATCATATCGATGTCATTTAGGTTGCATGCACATAATAAATATAGTACAAAGAATAATTTTAAATTTAGGTTCAGCCTGAAATTGCAGGCTTGCAGCAGTTGGAATGTAATATCAAACTGATGAAATCACCTTTCCAAAGTGGTCATATCCATCCAAATAATATTATTACACAGAACAAGAAGACAATAACAAAACATAGCACACTTAAGTATAATCAACAACATTGCGCATGTGGTTTTAGAACATTGATTTGTGACATAACAACTGAGGATTTAAATGTGATTACCAAATATTCCCCTTGATTAATTTTGAGTTTCAATTTACTGAACAAAAGCTTAAAGGTAACATGCTAAAGCATTGAAAAGACGAATCTGCTTAATTTTTCTGAATTCTTAATGAACCACATGAATAATATGCATGATCCTCCTGGATATTCTTGAATTTGATTTTTTACTTAAAGTCTTAAAAAAAACTAACCCCTTTATGAAAATTTTAAAGCAACAAATGATTAAAAAGAAAGGTTGAGATTAGCAACTAATGAAACAGGACACCATGGGTCTATTGGTGGGCTCACATTTCTGTTTCTTTTTCTTCTTTTCTCATTTCCAATTATTAAAATTCATTGTCTCTTGCCAGACAGCCACATGACTAATTCTAAGACAGATGATATATTAAGGGGGGGGGTGTGTTTATATATGTATACATATAAGTCAAAAGATATGCTGCATAAGAGGAGTGCTTTTGCTAGCTATAGCCCACTTTGTATCCTCATCTCTTACACTGTCAATTTGTCAATTCTTTCCAATATTCCTTCTACACCTTCAGAGTAGCAGACATGGAAAGTTCACAGCCTCTTTCTATTGAAAGTTTCTCATATAGTTGGTTAGTGAACCTGAGGCCATCACTAGAAAGCCTAGATAGCTCTCTGAGAACTTCTCTCGATGCATCTGATGAAGCTTCCTTCATTGAGATGGACCCAAGAATGCCACCATCTAAAAGATTCTTTAAGAATTCACAAGATTCAAAATTTGACTTTCCAATTTCTCAGTCCCCTCTTACTCTTGTTCATGCAGATGAACTCTTTTCCAATGGTTACCTCATGCCCCTTTTTGTTGAATCTTTGAACATGGAAGAACATGAGTCCTCAGACTCCAACACAAGCCTGGTTTCATCTTCACATGCACAAAAAAGTACTGTTCCTACAGGTCATTCTAGTTGCCTTTCCTTAAAAAGGTGCAGAAAATTATCAAGGAGAATATTTCAGAAGTATCTTTATTTCTTAAGGCCTTTGTGTGAAAAGCTAAGGGGTCACAAATCAAATACTGAAACTGTAGCTAAAAGAGCTGAGGCAGTAAAGAATAGGAAATACTATTCAGAAACATCCCCAAGAATTAGTGTAGCCTTTTCAGCAGATGATTGGCGCAAGTCTTGTGATTCTGAAAGCTCAATATATGAGGCAGTTCTCCATTGCAAAAGATCCATTGGTATGTACAAGTTCAACATGTAGAATTATAGATATCAATTGATCATAGCTGTTCTTATCACAAAATTACGTAGATTTTCTTGAGTACTAACTTTGACATTTTATTTATGGCAGAGAGTATGAGTTAACGAAGCTGCAAAAAGGGAGGGAGAAAGTGAAGCAAAATGAGAAGAGATTAAATTTGATCTACTGTCACTGTAGAACTTTTTATACTATGAGGGCAAAAAGATGGCACTTCATTGTTCTAGCTAAGCTTTTTCACTTCTTGTGGAAGTTTTTAACTATTTTTTCAATAGGTGGCATCATATGGTTCTCTCATAGTACTAGTATCAAATTCAAAAACAGAATAAGCGGAAAAAAAAAAAAAGGAAAGGAAAGGAAAGAAGAATAGTCACATGTGAGCTGAACATGCATGAGGCCAAATTATCAGCAGCCACTCATTCTGTCTCCATTCTCCTCCGCTTAAGTGATATAGGAATGTCATAGGCAAATAATATGTGGTTGGTTGTCAAGGTTTGCACTCAAATTTGAAAAAAAAAAAAAAAAACGATACAGTTCAATTTTACTTTTTTAATCTTGTTATTACTGGGTGGAACACTTTTACTACAGATGAGAATCTGATTCCTTATTACACTATGTAAACATAATGTTGGAATTATAATGTGTGCTAAAGTAATCGTTAAGCATAAATGATGCGGATCAGTTTATAGATCCTTCTCCATTTAGATCTTGTTCATTCTATAAATACGATCTGTGGCATATCTTGGAAGAGGACTTTTTTTTTTTCCTTCAGCTGCATGTGAACTGAAGAAAAAGGAAAGGGAGGGATAATTTTGGATAAATGCTAGCAACATACCTTTTAAATACTGTTTTTCAATCAAATACACTTCTATAATTGGTTCAACTTTATTGATAATCATGAAATTAAGTTGGTTTTTTGCTCTATTTAATATGTTTTACTCATAATTTGTGTTTCTTAATAAATTTCAACTAATAACAAAGAAATTGATACAAAGGATGTTTTAGAGATTAGCTGCTAATACTCCTAAAAAATTTGACTTTCTAGCAACTTAAGTTGGAATGATTGAAGCATTTTCTGCAAAACTGAACAGCTTTGATTAGAAAATTTTATTGAGAAGTCTTGTTGGTTACAAAATAAGAACACAACATGCAACCTTTCTTAAACAATTTATGTAAGTAGTTAATTTAGAGTGACGGAAGCAAAGATCTAACCCATCACCACTTGCTTCAAGAGTTATGCCATGGCTCTTATTATTATATCATTAAAACTTTCGAAACTTGGGTGATTTTGGAGCATCTTAAGGTTTCTCAACTTATTTCTCAAACCTTCTTAGTGTATGAATAGTTGAGTCTCATTTCATATGCAAAATCATCTCTATATTATGCCTTCAACTCAACAATAACACAAATAGTAACCATTAAGAGTTGCTTGGTTTGAAAAATGTTCCATGTTTTTATTTTTAATTAAAAAAACATCACATTATGTTCATGTTATTTCCTATTTCTAATATTTATAAGGAAATCAGTAAAAATAAAAAAAATACTATGTTGTATAAAATTATTTTAAAAAAGGAAATATAATTAAAATTGATATTTTTGTAATTGAAAATAAAATTAAAAATAGTTTCTAAAATCAAACAGTACTTAATTTCTTAAATACTATATGCTCTAATCGTCAGATTGTAAAAATAAAATAAAAAGTGTGGATAAAACCTAGGCCTAACTTAGTTGGAAATTACTATGTAGCAAAAAATATCTAAGATCCCAATAATTGATGTTTCAGTTATTGGAGAACAATAGGCACATTCTTGTCCGAATTTGACGTCTCGGGTAGAATAATGTCTTTAGCTTAAAGAGTTTTGATTTGAAACCATGTAATTATGCAGAATCAACATTTCTCTCTCTCTTTTTTTGGTCTCAGTAGCATCAACATTTTTCGACTTTGCTAACCTTTCTTCAAGTAATGCTTCCGTGCACGAATACTTGCAATCCCTTTCATCTGCAAAAGTTTCCAATAACTCTGTTGAGTTTTCTTCAATCATTCCTTCAAAATAATATAAAAGAATATGGAACTCAATCATGACTCAAATTTATCAAATCATTAAAAGATTGTACGTAATCATCATCTTTATACAAATTTAAATCCTGTTTAGCTTCAGAAAATCTTTTTATTTTTTTAAAATTATACAAGTAGTTAAAGCGGTTAAAATGAACTGAATAAAAATAATATTTATTTTTATTATTATATGTGAAAATGAAAAATAAAAACATTTTTAAAAGTCAGATTCTAAAATTATTGAAAACTCACTAGTCACATACATGATTTTACAGTTATACACATGCATGGTTACGCATGATTTTAACTGTAACTACGTAATTTTATTTGAAAAGTCAAACTTGTGAAATTTCAGAGCAAATTATTTCTATCTTTTTTTGTATGAATAATCTTATAATATTTTTTCTATTTTAAATATACGTTAAATTCTCTTTATTTTTAAAAGTTATACAAAATATCTGTCTATTTAAAGATACTATTTGTCTTTAAAATAGGAGTACAAAAATGAATTTAAATTCTGAAATTGAGACTAAAGTATAATGTATAATTGGAATAGATAAAGTTGTATAAATTTTAGCAATAAGGAGAATTTTGTGTATATTTTCAATGTTTTTATTAAAAAAAAACGTAAAATAGAAGAAAAGATGGAGTAATTTACTCTAACAATCAACTAACAACACCAGCTACTTACATACTCAAGTCTTAAACTTCATAAGAGAAAAATAAGTGTGCATAGAAATATATATTATTTCTATTTTCATTTTGAAAGTGTCTGTAAAAAAAGAAAATCAAATAACGACATATAATAGTTTAAAAAGAAACCCAGAAACATAAATATTTCAAGTAAACAAATTTGAATTCATGACGAGTTATATCCATCATATCATACTCCATTGTTCACGGAAGCAAATTCTAGCAAACACAAAGATATATATTCTAGACAAAAGGTAACAAATGACAATGACCACAACGCTTTAATTTAATTTCTTCAATACTTTAACCATCATTTCAGCATACTGTCTTCCGATCAACAAAATTTTGGATGAATATGATATGCAGAAAGACACTTAAATCAATAATTGATTATGTAAGTTTTATTTCATTATACTATAGTTACACACTTATCTGTAAAGTACTTAATTTAAATATACATCACAGCAAAAACACAAAAATGTCATTTATTATTGAATAAAAATTATTAAGTGTTAAGATGATTTTTTATATAGAAAAATTTAAACTATCATTATACATCTTACAGGTCTATATTAATAACAAAAAAATACATATATATTAATATATATTAATATTTATATTAATAAAATTATTTATTTGCATAATATATTATACTGTTAATAATATACTTTTATTAAAAAAATTATATTAACAAAGACTAATCTAATGTTACGTTAGTGGTGCAAGTTAATAGTTTATTTTAGTCTGGCAAAAATTACTTATCTAAGAATTTCTTTAAGCTTCATTTGTTACATTGGTATTCATTTTCTTCCCTAAGTTCATCAGTATCTAATTATATTTAATAAATTTTCAATATTATTTTTTGCAAAATTGATAAATAGAAAACTCTCGATAAATCCCTAAATACTATACTTACAGTTGCAATATTATTCCCCTTATTTTTCATCTATATGAAAGTAAGTGAAATATTGGTTTGATTATTTTAGAATTAGCAGATAAGAGCATCTAAAGTCGTTTTGAATAAATCCACACAAATTAATTATTATTAGGGTGTGTATTTGTTGTCTGATCAACAAAAATCTGGAAGAATATGTCAAATTCTAAAGCTATAAATTCAATCTGTCATAGCTACGTTGTTTAAAAAATAATTATGTGACTATTTCGTATTAGCGCGCTTGTCTTCTGGTTTTTTTTTTCACTTAATAGATATCTGGCTTTAATTAACTTGAGACTTCCAACAAACTATATCAAAATCTTCTATATATATTATCATTAAATTAAGAAAACAAAATCTTATCTCCAATACTCTTACTACCAATTTCAATTGCAATGATATGCATTTAATTTATTATTAATTATATAATTAAAGAGTAACGTTAGTAATACATTTTTTTATATATTTTTATTATTGACTAATATTTAATGAAAAGTATAAAAATTATACGAGTGTCATCATTTTTTATTTCTAAATTAATGATTCTCTTTTGTGTTTTTTTAATTTTTAATAAATTATAATTAATATTAAAAAACATGTTAAAAAATATATCACTTACATTCTTGATAATCAAACGTGCATGTGGTTGAATAATGTTGAACTAAGACAAGGTTCAAAAAGTCGTCATCTCTTAAAAACGCCGTGTAGAGTGCGTTGACATTGGGACAAAACAATCTAGCTAGGGGTCCAAAACCTCGTTACATGTCGAAAGCAATTCTTATGATGTGAGATATATATTTAACGCAACAAATAACACATAATTAGCTTCATACAACTGTATATATACACGCGTGATTTAACTCATTTGAACAGAATCTTTTGTTAAAATGCACTTGTCAGGTTACGTTGTTTGCCTTTTGAGTTGTTCGGTCTTATATATTTTCTTTGTTGGAGAAAAGCATACAAATTGAAACGAGATTATGAATATTAGATTATGATATTCATTTTGAGTGTTTAAAGTTTGTTTGCACCGACTTCCCGTAAGTTAGGGAATTGGACATGATAATAGGGAAATTTGGAAGATAGTATACCTATTTGTATCAGAAACAGTTTCCACCACTTGTGAAACATTATGATATCCACAATGGTTTAGATGTTTCCTTTCTTTTCTTGGCTACACTTCCAGCATATTGACAGAAACATTAATTAATCGTCTATTGAAATTTTGAAATATAGCCAAACATGACAATGATATTGCTGTGATGTTGGTTGTTGTTACCATTTACCCACTGCAAAGCTGTGGACATTCCTCATGATCCAGTTCGCTAATAAATATCTTCAATTTTTCATATGCTTCTTGTTTCATAAACATGCAGTAAAAAAGATAGTAAAATTATCTAGCTAGAATACTGGATATATTAACATCGTGAAACTATTTCTTGATTATTATGCATACACATTACTTGAAGATAATTGTTCACGTGAAAGTTGAGACCCGGTTCAAGGTTACCCATGAAGTTCTTGGTAGAATCATTCGACACATTGAAATCATATATGAATGATGACTGTGTATTCGAATTGAATTGATTCTCACTGTATTAGTGTCATTTAATATGAATTATATTGGAATTAACCACCACCTGTGTCTTGAGAAAGTGGAAATTAAGTTGTTAATTTATTCCGAATTATGTTAATATTCAAAAAATCTCACAACCTGTTCAATTAAAGTTCTATCAACCGATCAGGAACAAATA